CCTCCTAATAGAATGAGATGGTACGGGAGTTGGATGGCCATGTCCTGAAGTGTGTGAAAGACCAGAACGGTAATCATGTGGTGCAGAAGTGTATTGAGTGTGTGCAGCCTCAGTCCCTGCAGTTTATCATTGATGCGTTTAAGGGACAGGTAAGTCCTCGACCAAGATACTGACTCTCATTCTTCGTATTCTTGTATGTTGCTTTGAAGAGTGTGAGAGTGGCTGTAACTTGTTCAACTATTCTGAATTTTAACTTTTGGCAGGCATCAGTTGAAAGGGTTATGCAGCAATGTTAGGGAGCCTAGAAACTCTTTGGTCGTGTCTCTGTTACCATTTCTGTGCAGGTATATCACAGTAAAGCATCCTTGCAAAAATCTGTTTTCTGGGAACATCAAGTATTTTTTGACTGATGGAGGGAAAAACAAGTCTCTCACTAATCCATCTTCGTAGTAAAGGTGGTGAGCAGAGTTTTGTGATGGGTATAGTAAACTTTCGTTATGATCCCTGCCTGTGAGGATGGCTTAGAGGACTGCTGTTTCACGAGGGTTTCAGATCAGGGCAAAACATGAATTTCATCTAGAAAAGGGCAGTTACTCGTGCTTCCTTCTCACAGGCTTTTTCTTGCTATCCTCTTCTTAATCGATGTCCTGAATATTATTCATGTAGTTGGCTTTATTCTACCTGTAGTCAGCTTGTCTTCCATTATGGAAGTGCTGGTTTGGGTGTTTCCATCTTCAACTGAACTGGCTTTGGAGGGGACTTTGAAGTATTGAGGGGTTTTCCACAGGGATGTGAGGATAGCCTGGGGTTGTTACAGCAGGAGCCAGCCATTATTGGTTTGGCTGTTCCTGGAACAGCCGTGAAAGAGGGGACTTGCTTGGCTGTGTCAAAACAAGCAGGATTCTAGCTGGAAACTTGCTTTGCAGATTTGCTGGTTAGAGTTTAGCTCTCAACCTTCCACTGGGGAGTTAGGCAAGGCAGAAGTACCTCTGGGAACTTGGTTGAAGGCACTGACATTTCTTTGACCAGCTGCCCCAGTTCCATCTGAACTTTCCTATGGAAGATTAAACTCAGCACCTCAAGACTATTTTTCTGAAGCTAATTGCACTTGGAGTCCTGTTTTCCTGCACGGTTTACTCAGTAGTTATAAGTTGTATACTGGCAATTTAACTTCAGTGTTTGGATTTGCTGCTTTTGTTAATTTTAAGCAACCAAATAGGACTTTGTGCTTCAGACAGGAAACTGTGCAGCAATAATAAAATGTGTCATGTTCTTACTAACAGATTTGATAATCCATTAGAAATGAGAAAGAAGGTTCTTTGTTGTCACTTCTCCTAAGCGCAGTTAAGGCTTTTAAACGTATCCAAATAGTTGAGGAAAATCCTTTGCTGAGCATTTTTAACTTTTCTGGTTCATACATTTCTTACACAGCTGGCAAACAGTACCCTGGATTTATTCTTCTGAAACAGTGTTTTAACACAGCTTTTGATAATGCTTGGTTGTCCCAGTGTTCTTTTTATTAATCAAGAGGCTTTTCCACTTCTTTTCCCATTTTGTGAACAGGGAAGCTGAAGCACAGGTAGGGATGTGATGTGCCTGTGATCGCTCAGTCCCATGGCAGTGGGGAGCAGATGTTTCCAGTTTCCATTTGTGCTCTCTGAAGCTGCCGTGCTGCAAGCTGGCATTACCTACCGTGCCCAGGAAAAACCACCATGTGTTCGTTTAATTCTGAAAGGTTTCTAGGATTCACAAAGACTAACAGATGTGTCGCTGCCTGTGCTTGCCTGTCTTTGTTGAATGCAGGTTTTTGCGTTGTCTACACATCCATATGGCTGTCGTGTGATCCAGAGGATCCTTGAGCACTGTCTTCCTGAGCAGACCCTTCCCATCTTGGAGGAACTTCACCAACACACCGAGCAGCTCGTTCAGGTCAGTGTGGGACGGAGGAATGCAGGTGCTGTGAAATGTTTCTCACTTACTGCTTTATATATTAGGGGAGCTCCTGGCAGCATGTGTGGGACTGCAGCTGTAGTGCTGCTGGGGTTGTCTGAACACAAGGACTCTGTTCCTGAGGAATGGGAAGGAACACGGCAGACAAGAAATGCATCACCGATAGTTGTTTTGGCTATGTGCAAATATCCAGCAGGTATCAAAGTTGTAACTTTCCTTTTTGAAAAGGATCTTAAGCAGCAAGTGGGGTGTGTATCCTAGTGCTTCACTCCACAGGTTACAGTGTAAGTAAGATCTAAAGGGAGTTGATGCAACAAGATGATTACTTCTGGGAAAAGAAAAATCCAGGTAATCGAGGTTCTTAAAATGTGCTGGTTTTATGCACACCCCCTTCCTGGCTGCTTTTCCTTGCAGTCCTTCTGAGAACTTGTTTAACTAGGATTCTGGTACTGGGGCACAATGGATATAGCAGCAGATGAACCCTGTCCTATGTGCTCATATATTTAACACATGAAAAGTGCAAAGAGGTTGGACATGGAGGGGAGGCACTGGATCATGCCACTGGTATTGTGAACTGGGAAAATATACATTTTGTGATCTGAATATACATGTAAGGACGGCCTCCTGTAGCTACAACCATGGCACAGCCCTCCAGAACGTGTGATTTGGTATGTTTGAACCTGGAGAAGGCAGAGAAACCTGAAATAAGCAGAGTATTGACATTTCATGTTCGAGGACACTGTTTTCAGTTTTATAATTAGTACAAAGATGCAGCATTTTAGCTCCTGGTAAAACTGTGGAATGCATGTTTTTATAGAAGTGGAAAGTATTTACATGATTTTTACAGTAGATATTTTAATTGGTGTTTAGTTCAAGTCTTTAATTCTTAATGCACCTTGGGATCTAGTTTGATAATAATGGTTCCTGTCCACATTTTGTCACACACTTCTGTCTCTCAAACAGGATCAGTATGGGAACTATGTTATCCAGCATGTACTAGAACATGGTCGGCCTGAGGATAAGAGCAAGATTGTAGCAGAAATTAGAGGCAACGTGCTCGTGTTGAGTCAACATAAATTTGCTAGGTATGAATTTATTCCCTAAAGTCTCCAAGCCCTGTGGGAGCATGGACACATGCTAGAGTTGCAGAAGAGTTTAGGGGTGGGGTGTAGGTAGGTGAAAGGAGGTGAAAATAACTTTTTGACTAACAACAGAATGCAATTTATAACTGCATATAAACAGGGAGGAGTGACTGGCAAGGTAAGTTTTACTTGTAAAGAAGGAGGTTGAAGGTATGGAAGAGTAGCTCTAATACAAGTTCCTGAACTTGACCAAGAGTTTTTACGTGTGTTGGTTTGGTTTGGCTTGGTTTGGCTTGGTTTTATGTGGTCACTATGCCCTGGATAATAACATGACATAAGAGCATTTCACTGCCCTTGGAATGCTGTGTCAAGCCACAAGGGAATTTGGGAAATCAATGTAGCAACAATTCTTTTTCATCCCGCTTTTCACAGAAGCATCTGGGCTTTTTATATGCTAAGTCTTGCGGTCCTTTGTGAGACACATGCATAATGATATCCTCTTTGGGAAGCTGCAGCAGTTTGCGGTTGTTAGTCCAGATGCTACAGAGCTACGCATGGGTAGAAGCAAAGTCCAGGTACCTTAGTGGATGTCAAGACAATGTAATACTTCCCACATTCCTAAATTCCTTTTGTGTGTGTTTCTAGCCGTTTGAACGTGAAAGCTGAGCTCCTCAAAGGCTCAACATTCTCCCCTTTTTCTGATTGGTGAAACAGTGCTTTAATACTTAGGGACACAAGGGAAGTGTAACATTAACAAGAATTAGAAGAGCGTGGTCTTAATGTTGTTATTTCGGATTCTTCCCCCCTGACTTGCCTTGCACTTTTTTTCTAAACTTCTTTCCAGATGGAGCATTAATTAGTGTAGGATGTCCCCTGAGCTGAGCACTAGATGTGGCAAACCGCTTGGTGATTTTTATGATTCAGTCAGGGATGCAGAAGATAAGACTAGCAAAACTCGCCATCCCCTTTCATGTATCCTATTTAACTTGGCTCTCTGGAGAGCAGAGACGAGTCATCTAATATATTCAGGAATTTTGGAAGTTCTCTGCTTTTGCCAAGATCTTTCATTCCTGAATAATCATTTCTGTTGTTCTAACCTTGGACCTCCATTCCTGTCGAGCTCCAGTACTGAGAAAACCGAACAAAGAGCAACTCATCTGCTTCTCTAATGGACATGCTATGAGAACAGACGCTGATCTCCAATACGGCATCATTGTAGAGTTGCACAAATTTGGGGGAAATAAAACCTGAACCGGTCCTTTACCCAAATTCCCACTGGGATGCCAAGTTCCTTGGACTGCTCTTCTGTTTCACATTGCTGAACTCCTGTGCCAGCGCATATCTCTCCCAAATGGTCTGCCCTTGCTAGAAGCACGAGACCTCCTTGGGGTTGAATGAAAAGCCCAGCAGAGGTGTTGCGTGCTCACAGATTGTCCTCCTTCTATTGTTACAGCAACGTGGTGGAGAAATGTGTTACTCATGCCTCCCGTACGGAGCGTGCCATGTTGATCGATGAGGTGTGCACTATGAATGATGGCCCTCACAGTGCCTTATACACCATGATGAAAGATCAGTACGCCAACTATGTGGTACAGAAGATGATCGATGTGGCAGAACCAGCTCAGCGGAAGATTGTCATGCACAAGGTAAGCAGCTGCCGTCGATTGATAAGGATGTAAGGCTGGCCGCCGCCACACTGGATGCGGAGAGAAAATAAGGCAGAGAGGATTGCTTTTGCTATTAGAATTTCCTAACGATGGACGTGTTTCAAAGTTGCGTGTTTTGGTAGTAGCTGAAATACGAAAATGTGAAATAACGAGGCGCCAATTGGACTCAACTAGCTGGTTGCTTCTAGCAGTCTCTTCTGACCTAGTAACCTAGTCCTGCACTTGGGGCGTAGCAAATGCTGCTAAAAACCGGCAAGGCTTACTGCAGCAGCAGCCTGGGGCCGGTGCCTGGCGAGGCTCCGCTGGCGATGATGACACCCTTGCCCTCACCGAGAACGGCGTTTGCTGGTGAGAGCGGTTCCGTGCGCCCGGTGGAGCCGAGCCAGACCTCCCCGCACCTGGAGCCCCAGCCTGGACCTGCCGGCTGCGCTTCGGAGGGCTGCCAGCACTGCCTGGTCACCTCGTGTCCCCTTCACAGCCCGCATCAGGACAGTCGGGGTGGCTGGTGGCACCGCGCTGACGGGCCGCGTTGCTGTAGCGTCTGAGCCGGAGCCATTAATCACATTCTCCACTTCTCACTTTTGAATATGGTTTTGATGAGAGACTTTCACGCTCTGGCATTCAGCTGCAGTGTTTGAATGCGCAACAGTTTCAGGACTTAATATTTGTCAAAAATGAAGTAATTTGGGAATTAAATGTGCATTGCTTCCAGCCCTACCTCCCAAGGCTACGTGCCTGCTGCCCCAAGGGCAGGAAGCTCTCAAGATCAGGTGATGTCTTCATTTTCCTGTTTTTAAAGGTTATATTTGTGGGTCTTTAAAATTGTAATGAATGGAAAAAGGCCCGCTTTTGAATGTCTGGTGGAACTGGGATTATTTTCTTCAGTCACATGTTGTAGGGTCTGTTACTTTGTGAAAAATACCAGCTACAGCTAGACGTATTAGAAGTAAATTACTGGCTAACACTGGCTTGGGAAACCCCATATTTATTTATTTTTAAGAGGAACTGTGAAGAGTGTCAGGTATTCAAATCTCAGTGAAATCAAGTGTTTTTAAGAATCCTTGACTAAAATAAGCAGAGTGATTTTTCTGTAAAAAAGAGTGGGTATTATCTGTGTAAGGGAGCTGATTTTTACCTACTTACGGCAGTTGGTTGGTACATAAACAACATACATGCAGCTGAAACAATCTACAGGGAGGTTAATTTTTAGGTTTAGGAATTGTTCAGAGTAGTTATTTTAAGTCAAAATCTGTATTGGACCAAAAGAAATTATGAAAATAATTAAATAAAAGGGTATGACAAGGGATATACCACAGTGTAACTGTAGCAGAATGATCTGTAACTTTGCTAATCTATATATAGATATATATATTTAAAAAAAAAAAAAATCTTTTACTGACATGTTCTTTTGAATGAAATGCTAATTAGGTTATCAGTGTGGTTGTCAAAAATAGAACTGGGCTGACAGCTAAATAGGACTGACTGGATGTGAAGATTTCAGCTACGTTATCAAGCTGAATGAAAGCATGGGAAAATTGAGTGTATCAGCTGTTGCTTTTGGATTGGGAAAATTGCTATTAGTGCAAACAAGCAGTTTGTGTTATTGTTAAAGACAGCACTTTTATTTAAAAAAAAAAAAAAAAAAGGTAAAAAGTCTTAGAAATGAAGACTAACAGAGAGCGAGCTGTTGGAGCGGGGCAGCTTTACCTCTCCCTAACGTCAGAGCAGCAGCCAGACCTTCCTGTAGATGGGACGGGGGGGGAGCAAGGCATCAGTCTATGATTGTTACAAGACACGTCCTTGCAGTGAAATAGGAATTTAAACAGCTCGAGGCTGAGCTGACGAAATAGGATGCGTTTGGATGGATCTCCCATGGGAGTTTTATGGTCAGGCCTGGCTCAGGCAAGTGGCGGTGATGTGGCCACTGGAGGGGCAGGGCAGGAGCAGGGGCTGCCCTGTTCTCTCATCCTGCCTGCAGCTTCCACTTGCAGAGTGAGAAGTCCATTGTAATGGCGTTACAGAAGGAACGTGCTGGTGGTGTGGGGTACTGCTCGTCTAGTACTGGAAATGAATTGCTCTTACGTCTTCTTCCTCTGAAACTCTCCAGGAGAACTTTAGCAGCGTAGTGACGTTACTACAAGGAAAACAGCTTCCCGTGCTTGGGTGCTTGGGCAGGAAGAGTGGTTTTACTCTGGCCGCAGTAGTTACAGTGGTGTTGACAGTGACTTTTACTCTGAAGTAGTGTGAGCGGGTGAAGTTTGCTTCCACAGACCTCTTCTGCGCTTAAATAAATATTTTGATTGTCAGGTTCAGAAATTAAACTGCTGTTCAGCCCAGGAATGCTGCTCGCCTCTCCCAATAGCTCTTTCAGATAGATACACTGCTGAAATTCATACCAGCAACTCTTTCAGGCTTTTAGCAGTTTGGAAGTTCAGCGTGTAGCCTGGAAGGAGGCAGAAGACCCTGCTGGTGTCCAGCAAAAGCTGCTCAGCTCCACTAGACCCTTCTGCTGCCTTTTCTGCCTTAGTGGGTGTGGGGCAGAGTGTCGGGGCACCCTTGGGACGCTCAAGCACCCAGGGGTTGTGTCTATCCTGCCTCCTCTCTTGGGACAAAGTCGCCTCCACCCACATGCTCAGATCCAACTGGATCTCAGTAATGTGGCTCAAGATGATGCCACCTGCTTGACCAGAAGCTCCTCCTAAAAATAACATCAGTGAGTTACGGAACTTTATCTTGATTCACAGTAATTGATGTGATTACAGTAAAGGCACTTTAACATTTCCAGCATTTTTGTGGTCTTCTGGTGTTCTGCTGGTGGCCGGCACACTCACCCTGAAGTACCTGGCACTCGCTCAGGATTGAAATGGCCCTAATTTGGGTTCCTGAGCTTCACTCACTCTTCTTTTGTCTCCTAGATCCGGCCTCATATTGCTACCCTGCGTAAATACACCTATGGCAAACACATTTTGGCCAAGCTGGAGAAATACTACATGAAGAACGGGGTGGACCTCGGGCCCATCTGTGGGCCACCGAACGGTATCATCTGAGGTAGCAGACGGGGACGGAGCTCACTGGCCATCCGGCATCCACAACCAGCAACCGACAATATTCCAATATACAGTTAGAAAATGTTTTATGGTTGCTAAACTGCTAAAAAAAAAAAAGAAAAAGAAAAAAGAAAAGCCTTTGTAAATTTCTTTAATTTTATTATGCATAACATGTACTAATTATTTTTTTTAATTAACTAATTGCCCTGCTGTTTTACTGGTGTATAGAATACTTGTACATAGGTATCAAATGTACATGGAAGGCCACATTTTTGTTCACTGTTGTATCTATATTCCAAATGTGGAAACTTTCAGGGTGGTTGGTTTGAAGAAAACAAACAAAACAAAATGTTTTTAATTCATCTGCCTTGCAGGCAACTTTTTTGCAAATACCTGTTTTTTCTCCTTTTAGTCAAAAGTCAGCAAGAAGTTTGAATTTTAGTTAAATGGCACAAACGACGCATTTAACGTTGTTTATAAATATAAAAACAAATTCAACTTGCTAAAGCTTCAGTTTAAAAAAAGGATTAAGTTTTTGAAACTTTTTAAGTGCTTCTTTTTTTATTTTAATTTTAGTATAACATGCTAAAGGAGGTAGCATAGCTGTCGTTTTTGGGAAGAAAACGTACGCACCCAGAAAGTTTTTAAAGCGAGGGGGTGGGGGGTGGGTGTACTTGTTTACTGCCTACTCAGTTTATTCTGTTAACATTGAGAGACACAATTTGATTATTTAGCATGAGGAAAAAAAAATCCAACTCGGCTTTGGTCTTGCTTCTATAAATATATAGTGTATACTTGGTGTAGACTTTACATATATAAAAATTTGTAGTATTTTCTTGTTTTGATGTCTGATCTGTATCTATAATGTACCCTAGTAGTGGAACATACTTCTGACTGTACAATTGTACATTTGTAAACCTCTGTAATGTAAATGTGGAGAAGTTTGAATCGACATAAACCCGTTTTTTGGTAAGAAAAAAGAATTAGCAAAACCTGTGCATTTCAGTGTATATTCACACCTTTTATGGTCGTAGCATATAGTGTTGTATATTGTAAATTGTAATTTCAACCAGAAGTAAATTTTTTCTTTTGAAGGAAATGTTCTCTTTATACAGCCTAGTTAATGTTTAAAAAAAACTAAATGCTTGGTTTTATTTGTCACCTAGTTGAACAGTAGCGATCCTTTCTAAATGTTATAAAAAAAAATGATTCAGTTCAAAATAGTGTTTTTTTGAATCTTAAAAAGTAATGTTTTGCTTATTTTGTGACAGTAAGAAACAAAAAGTGCAAAAGTACAGAATCCCCTAGTTTTCCTTACAATCAGAGTCCCTTTTCACCTTGTAAAGTGTGAATCACCTTCCCTTTTTGTACAGAAGATGAACTGTATTTTGCATTTTGTCTACTTGTAAGTGAATGTAACATACTGTCAATTTTCCTTGTTTGAATATAGAATTGTAACACTACACGGTGTACATTTACAGAGCCTTGTGTATATTTCCAATGAACTTTTTTGCAAGCACACTTGTAACCATATGTGTATAATTAACAAACCTGTGTATGCTTATGCCTGGGCGACTATTTTTTGTAACTCTTGTGTAGATTGTCTCTAAACAACGTGTGATCTTTATTTTGAAAAATACAGAACTTTGGAATCTGGCTTTGTGTTTGCTTTGGACACCTTCAGTGGAATGCCACCCCCATCAGCTTTTTACCTCTTTTTTAATTTAAGAGCAGCAAGGGCAGCGGCGCCCACATGGAAAACAAGGAGCAGACTGACCACACGTGCCACCCTCCTCCTGGGGTCGGGGATTTGGGCTTTTTACACCTATTTGAGCCCATCTAAACCTCTTCAGAGCCTGTACAAACTGGAGGCCCCCCCCAGCCTCCATCCTCTGGCAGGAAGTTGCAGAGGAACAACCCCCCCGACTCTCTTGGTGCTTTTCAGCGCTGCAGCTCTTGCAGAGCGAGGCAGGGAGTAACGTCCCCTGGTACCTCGTCTTTGCTCGTGGTTTCCTCTTCCCATCCCTCCTGCCCTCTTGGGGGGCTGGGGCTGGTGGGCCGCAGAGCTGGTGGTTGTGCAGAAGCTGCTCTGCTCCTCATCCTCCTCTTTGTTTTTTGGGGTGGGGGGGAGGAATGGGGGGGTGGGGGGGGCTGCCCCCTGCAGCCGAGATGGGGCTGCCCCAGTAATACCGAGCGCCACAGCGTTTTCTGGTTCATTGAGAATTGCAAGAAAAGCCAAGCTCGTGTTTCCCTGGAGCCTTTCCCCAGGCCCAAGCTCTCCTCCCCAAGAGGTGCCTCTGGGCTCCCAGCCCGGCGCTTGTTGGGACCGTCCTGCTCCCCCACATCACGTCCCACCCCTGCCCCCAGTTCATCGCCTGCTGCCCAGACCACGGCCTTTTCTTCCCAGTTCCCTGTCTCGGGGGAGCCTCAGCTCTGCGTTTCATCCCCTGTGCCACTGAACGCTCCACGTGCGATCCTTACTCGAGGAGAAAACGGGCCTTTTCTTACCACCAATTTTTCTGCATTTACCGGTGTGCAGAACCTTCCCCGTCCCTGCGGTGCAGTTTGGTGGCTGCTGGTTTTAAAGATCCTTTTCTGAAGGCTATCATCAATGATTCGGGAAATACCCATAAGTTTGAGCACTTGTGCAAATAGGGTGACGATGGAAGGGAAGAAACTTCTCATTTTACAGGAAATCAGTTTTTTGGCTCAGGGCCTGAAAGCATTTCATTTTGGAGTGTCAAATTACTGATCCTGCCCACGCTGACACTTCCTTCTCACCCCTCAACAAAAAACAATACCCCTGTGACCCAGCGGTGGGTTTAATCTGTTTTCACACCCTTTGTTACATTTAGTGGAGAGTTGATTTGGGCTTTCTCACACCTTTTCTGCCCTGGGTTTGAAGCCAGCCTCCACGGGCAGCGGAGTTGACCCTGCCGGGCTGAGGGAGGGGGCGCAGCGGGAAGGACGTGGCCGGGTTGCTCCTTCAAGGCCCGGCTTTGGTTTCTGCTGAGCGTGGCTGCTGGAGGAGGGATGTGAAGGGATCCATCCCATCAGCTGGGATCCATCAGCTGGGATCCATCATATCAGCTGGGATCCACCAGCTGGGATCCATCCCATCAGCTGGGATCCATCATATCAGCTGGGATCCGTCAGCTGGGATCCATCCCATCAGCTGGGATCCATCATCAGCTGGGATCCATCCCATCAGCTGGGATCCACCAGCTGGGATCCATCCCATTAGCTGGGATCCGTCAGCTGGGATCCATCCCATCAGCTGGGATCCATCATATCAGCTGGGATCCACCAGCTGGGATCCATCTTATCAGCCGGGATCCATCAGCTGGGATCCACCCCATCAACCGGGATCCACCAGCTGGGATCCATCCCATCAGCCAGGGTCCATCATGACACCCAGATCCCATCACATCCTCCGGGATCCATCACACCCACCTTGACCCGATGGAACAAGATCTCCCGCTTCCACGGGGGGAGAAAAGGACCCAGCGGCAGCGCCCGCCCCGCCACGGCCCCTCCCGTGGGTCCCCAACTCTCGCGTACAGGCCCCCCTCTCACCCCGCCAGGCGTCAGGGGCCACCTCCGGGGCGACAACCCCTCGGCGGGGACCTGCAGGGCCGTTGCCCCCCCCCGGCTCGGCCCGGGGGGGCAGCGCGGCGGAGCTGCAGGGGTGGCGGCGGCCGCGGCGGGGCGGTGCAGCCCCAGCAACGCGCCCCCGGCCCGGCGGAGCGGCTGCCCCGCGCCGGGCCCCCCGGCCCAGGGACCCCCCCCGCCCCAGGGACCCCCCCCCGCCCCAGGGAACCCCCCGCCCCAGGGACCGCTCCCCCGTGTCCCAGGCACGCCCCCCCCCCCCCCCCCCCCCCCGGCCGCAGGGACATCCCTCCCCCCGCCCCGGGGACCCCCATCCTCCCACTCCCCCTCTCCCTGCCCCAGGGACTCACCCCATCCCAGGGATATCCCCCACTGCCCCAGGGCCCCCCCCCCCCCGCTCCAAGGATATCCCCCCACGCTCCGGGCACCCCCCTCTCCCAGCGACCCCCCTCCCCAGGGACCCCCCCCTGCCCCAGGGACATCCCTCTCCCTGCACCAAGGACCACACCCTCCGCCCCAGGGACTTCTCCTCCGCTCCAGGCCCCCCCTGCCCCAGGGACCCCCCTTTGCTCCAGGGACCCCTCCCGACCCAGGGACACCCCCCTGCCCCAGGGACATCCACCCCCCCAGACCCCGACCCAGCCCCACTGTGTTTCTGTACAACCCGAAGCTTTTCCCCAGGTTTTGCTCCCCTCCCACCCTCCCAGCTTCTCACTGATGACATTAATGCACATATTTTTTTTTTTAATATTATTAATTTAGATCCTGCTAATTATAGTGCAATTAAAACAGAGAGAAGTGACTTAGGTGGGGACCCCGTGGCAGAGCCCCCCCGTGATGTTTCACACCCCCAAAGAGGAGGATTGCTCTGAGTTTCCCATCAAATGGGGAATGGGGAGGATGCTCAGCTGGGGGATGTGCCCAGCTCTCCCCGTCTAGGGGCTACACCCCAATTTTTAGCTGGATTTGGCCGATTTCCCTTCCCAACCAGGCAGTACTGGGAGGACAATTCCCCTTCTCCCAGGTAATCCCCCTGCTCCCCCATTGGCCCCCTCCTGGGTTATATTTTTCATTCAGATGAGGTTTTTTTATGAGAATCTGAGCGTATTTTTAGGCTTTTCGCAGAAAGCGTGCGAAAACCATTAGGAGGAATTACACGTGTGCGAGAAACGACTCATTTATATCCCATCCCGTCTGTTCCCAGCTCACCCACAGCTACTGCCTCCCGGGCCCACTGGGGTGACTGAACACCCAAATTCGGAGCAAAGTCACCCAGGGTTACTTCACAGCCACATGGAAGTCACTGTTATGACAGGGGACTGCCCTGTCCTCTGATCCCACTGTTATCCCTTTTTTTTTTCTTTAAAAAAAAAAGGGGAAACTGAGGCACGGTGCTGTGGGGCTGTTTGAAGTATTGGCCCAGGGCTGGGAGCGAGTCCCAGCTCTTCCCAAAGGATTTTCCCCTCCTGGTCTGTGCCCCTGGGGGCAGCCCTGGCCCCAGCACCCAGCCAGGGGTGACTGAGGGAGCAGGGCAGGGTGGGGGTCCCACCCTGGAAGCAGATCCCAGGGTCCCCGTCTGCCTCTGGTTCCTCTCCCCTGTCTACCCAGAGGTGACTGTCTGCCCCCCGACCCCCCCATCTTCCCCTGGGCCTGCTGATCCCCCCCTCATATCCCCCTGAGTCCCCCCCATTACCTCAGCCCCACCTCATCCACCTTTGGGTCCCCCCATCTGTCCCAGGGCCCCCCCAGTCTGCACCAGGGTCACTGCCACCTGCTCCAGTCCTCCCCTATCTACTCCTGGGTCCCCACATCTGCCCCCAGGCCCTCCCATGTACCCCTGGATCCCCCCGTCTGCCCCAGCACCCTTCCACTTTGCCCCAATCCCATCCTTTACTTCTGTCCCCCTCATCTACTCCTGGGTCGCCCCAATCCGCCCTCCATCCCTCCCTGTATCTACCTCAGAGTCCCCCCATCTACCCCGGGGTCCCCCCATCTACCTTTGGGTCCCCTAATCTACCCCAGGGTCCCCCTCATACACCCCAGACACCCTCCATCTGCCCCGGGACCCCCCATCTACCTTTGGCTCCCCCCCATCTGCCCCAGGCCCCCTCACCTACCCTTGGGTCCCCTTGTCTACCCCAGGGCCACCCGCATCTGCCACCACCCCCCCCCCCCCCCCCCATCCCGCTCCCCCCACGCCGGCTCCGGGGGGTGCCCCCGCCGGTGGGGTCGAGCCGGAGCGGTCGCATCCCGGGGTGGGGGGGGAACCTCGGCGGGGCCGGGATCGGGCGGGGGGAGGGACACCGGGACAAGGGATCGGGGGGGGGGGGGCTGCGTGGGGGGCCGGCGCTTCCTGCGCGGGGAATTGGGGGGGGGGGCGCGGCGGGGATGGGCGGCGCGGCGGCGGCCCGCACCCACACCCGCACCCGCACCCACACCCGCACCCTCACCCGCACCCACACCCACACCCACACCCACACCCACACCCACACCCACACCCACACCCACACCCACACCCACACCCACACCCACACCGCCTCCCGCGGGCGGCGGCAACAAAGGCCCTTCCCCGCCCCCGCCGCCGCCTCCCGCCGCCGCTGCAGCCGCCGCCGCCGCCGCCGCCGCCGCCGCCGCCAGCCGTCCTTGCGGCAGGATGATGCCCGGGGAGGTGCCGCCGCCGGCGCCCCGGGGGGTGCGGAGCCTCGCGGTGCTGCTGCTGGTGGTGCTGGGCGCCCGCGCCGCGCTGGTGAGTGACTGCGTGGGGTGGGGGACACACACACACAGACACAGACACACACACACAGACCCACCCGCCCCCCGGGATCGTGCGTGGACTGGCCGCGGGCAGCGGGGACTGGGAGAGCGGGGCGGGGAGGCGCGCTGGGATAGGATGGGGGTGCTGGTATTGGGGGGGGGGGGGGGGGGGCGCTCGTGGTGGGCTACAGTGGGATGGGGATCGGGGTCGTGCGTGAACCGGCACCGGGCGGCGGGGAACCGGCACCCGGCTGGGGAGGGAGGGTGGGATGGGGAGGGGGGGGTGGCAGCGGCCGCCTGGCGTGGGGGGGGACACACACACACACGACTCCCTGCCCTGGGGCCCGCAGCCGGCGTGGGGGGGGGTCCCAGAGCCGGAACCCTGCGTGGGGGGGTAGTGGGGACCGGCACCCTGCTGGGGTGGGGTCGGGCCGGCACCTTGATGGGTGGCTTAGGCGGGGGGGGCTGTGGGGCTCGCACCCTGCTGAGGGGGTGGGGGGGGGCACCTAGCTCCCGAGGGGCTCCGAACCCCCACACCCTGCCCGGCCCCTCCCTGCCTGCACAGCCCCCCCAGAGCCGCAGACCCCGAGCGGGCAGCGCAGGCAGGAAGCGGTGATCCCCCTCCTCACCCCACCCCACCCCCCCTCCCAGGGCAGTGCTGGGGCAGGGGCTCACCCCGGGGGTGCGGGCAGGGCGAGGGGTGGGGGGCAGGCACGGTACCGGGGCCCCACCGTGTGCGTGGGGAGGGGGGATGCAGGCAGATGCCATTTGAAGGTCGTAGGGAAACACGCCTTGAAAATAACCCTGCAAGGGGGAAGAGGGAGGAAAATCCCACTCCTGCCCGCTCCTACTTCTCAGCAGCAGAAGGAACTTGGGGGGGGGTTTCTCTTTGCCTGCCCCCCCGGAGTTTCTCTGGCATCTCCAGCCCCTCCCGGGACGGTCGGGGTGGCTGCAGGCAAGCCCTGCCGCTCGCCCCTCGCCTGCACGGGCATTGCCCCGCTCTGCCCGGGAGGTTTTCCCAGCCCTGCTCACGGGAGAGGATTTCGATGTCGGCAGGAGGAAAGGGGTCTGTGGTTTCTTGGGGCACTTCCAAAACTGCGTGTTCCCACCACCGGCACGGAAACCCTCCGTCGGAGTCCCCCTGCCCTCCCAGCACCCGCCTGGGGGACCCGGGCAGCTTTGTGGGGTGCTGGCTGCTGGGTGATGCTCTACGGGAAGGACCCTTCCTGCAGCCAGAAGATGCTTTTCCCACGCGACCAGCGCGGCCTGGGAGGAATAGGAGAGCGCATGGGAGATGAAGGCTGCCTCCTCCTCCTCTCCTTAAGAGGGGAAGAAGTCTCAGGGCCTGGCCACTCGCCAGCGTGCGACCTGCTGCACTAAATAACTAAATTCCCCATCCTCCTGGGGTTCTGGTTTGTGGGTGCCGCGGGCTGGCACCTCTATTTCTGCGGGGCAGTGGGTGCGTGCGGGGCGTTCGCCCGGCTTTCCCGGCAGCGGTTATTCCCCTCCTGAAGAGGCAGATGCAACTTCGGTGTTTCCAAGGAGGCTGCTGAGAAGACCATCAGGTGTGATTTACTCGTCCGAGCAGCGATAAATATTGTGGCTCCTGGCGATGCCGTGCGGCCGCTTGCGCGGTGGATCAAAGGGCAGTTTATTAAGCTGAATATTGCGCTTTGCTATTGATCTGGGGAAGCCCGAGCTCCGCCGGTACCTCCCCTCCATCGCTGGGTGCCCTCGGCGGTGAGAGCTGCGTGCGGCCGTGCCGGCGTCTCTAGCACCCGTGGCGAGCGTTGGTTCAGCTGCGTGGGTGCTCGCCCCCCTGCAAATAAGCTTTTCCCCATCCCCGTGTGGGGAATTTTGGGTGCTGGTTAGTGGATGATGTCTCAAGCAGATGCTGGCATTTGCTGAGGATAATTAGGCAGGAAAGGTTATGGGTTTGTTAAATGCCAGGGTGGGGGGATGCTCCTGGGGACCCCAGGGGTTGGGGGAGGCAGCCCAGAGGAGGGAGGAGGCCGCTTTCCCCCATGAGGGGGCAACCTGGAGGGGACTGAGGCCTCTCCTCTCCCCTCCTTCTCTTTGCTGAAGCTTTAAAATCATTTAGTCTTGTTGGATGAAGTCTCAGCTTCTCCCTGGGGTCACTGGAGTGGGAAGCAGTGACTGGGCACAGCCCTGATGCCTCCCAACATGATAATAGGATGGGGGGGGAGGGGATGGATTTGGGGATCCCTGTCCCCCCCTGGTGCAGTTGTGCGGGCACCTGGGTGATGCTGTCTGCAAACCCTGTGCCGGATCCCCGTCCCTGCTGGTCAGCCCTTCTCCGGCGCAGCACCTGGAGAATTAATATTTGTACTGTGGAAACCAGACAAATAACTCCAGCTCCCATTGGCACCAAGCCCACGAGCTTCTGGGATGGGCCCAGCGCCGCGTGTCCTGGGGGAGTGTGGGGGGACGGGGCTGCCGGGCTCAGCACAGGGTCGTGGTGTTGCTGGAGCATTTGGGAACCAGCACGAGTCTCCGGGGACCCAGCGCTTCCCTTTGATCTCGTGGTGGCTGTGATCCCTCTTGGCCTCGGGTTTGGGGCAGCAGGGATCGGTCCCGCTGGGATCAGTCCCTTTAACTCTTTGTGTGCCTCCGTGGCAGCGCTGTGGGACAGGGGCTGCCTCTCCTGGTGAGACCCGATCCTGGCAGTGGGTTTTCCCAGCAACATCATGGACACACAGGTTTGGTTTTGGCTGGGATTCCCCAGGGCTGTAAAGCTCATGACCTCACCCTCTCCGTCCCTGCTGAACCCCATCTCTTGTCTTATCGCTTTGGAGCTGGCGGTGGGCCACTTTGAGAGAGAACGAGGCTTGGACCTGTTTGGGAGATCCAGGCAGCTCAGGGGAGAGCAGCCCCTGCATGTCTGTGGCAAGGCTGAGCTCAATCCCTTATTAGACACGCGAGAATCCCAGCAGGCTGTTTTCTGTGCAGCCGAGAGAGCTGGCAGCTCCCCACCTCGCAGACCACACACAGGCTGGGGGGGAGCAGTTCCTTCCTCCTCCTCTTCCTCCTCCTCCGCGCGGGGCCTCGGTGGAGAGCCGGGCTGCTGGCAGCCAAGTGGCATCTGTGGACTGTTTGGGGACAGAGCGGGCAGAGGCGAGGGCAGCGCCAGGCAGCACTGCTCACGTTAATTAGACGCAGGCAAAGCGCTGGTTGATGAGCTTTAATCAGCGAGGGTGGCCCATGCGCTGGGCTGCGGCGAGGTGCTGGAGGAGGGGGTGCGGCCGGCTGGCCCTGTGTGCCACCCCCGGGCTGGGCACCCCGAGTCCCTCCGCGTGCTGGGGAAGGATGCTTTGCCTTCCCCCGTGCTGGCTGGCTGAGCCGTGACCTTGGGGATCAGCTCCTCACCTCGATTAGGGAGAGCATCATTTAGTCGTAACCTTTCCGCAGGTCCCAGCCGCTCGTGTCCCCGTCCCCGCTGGAGCTTTGCTGGAGATGGCTCAGGGGCTGGTGTCATCCTTTAGTCCTGGAGTGGGTTTCCCTGGGGCTCTCCCGTGAGGGTCCGTGTGGGACAGCGTCCCTTGCTCCTTGCACTCCCTTAAAATCCACCCTTGGCTCAATCCGGAGGGATGATGGGGAGCACAGGACCCAGAGATGCCCCACAACCCCGCAGAGGTTTGGGGTGGAGCATCTGCCCTGCCCCGTCCCCTGCAGGTCTGGGTCCCACCAGTTACCAACCGGCGCTGGGGGGTTTGCAGGACACCCTTGTTTCCATGATTTTTGCTGCTGGTCTGGGGTCAGCAGCTCCCCAGTGGCCAGCCTGGCATTGGGGCCGCAGGGTTTTCCCCTCTGAGGTTTGTGGGTGCTTTGAGGGCTGCCGTGAAATTGTGTGGCATGTAACGAGCTTGCTAGGGCTCAGCCTGGCTCCCAGCGGGGTGGATATGAGCTCCCTGCTGTGAGCTGGGGTAATGCGGTGCTTTGACCCAGCCCTGTTTGTAGGGACATCCCAGCTGTGCTCAGCACCCAGCTCCTTCCTCTTACGAGCAAGTGGTAAAGAAAGTTCACGGAGAAACTGAGCAAAATAAATAGACAAATAAAGGGTCCCAGAGCTTCTCAAGGGGAGCAGGGTCCTCTGGCTACTGGCAGCTTCTGCGTGGCATGGGTGAAGTGGGAGTGAAGTCCCCAAGTGTCCCTAAGGCTCCTTTTCCTGTCAGGAGAGCAGCCGGGAGACGCGCGGCAGCCCTTGGAGACGGCAGCAGGGCCGGGGGAATGCCCGGCCCGGCCCCGGCCCGACGTGAGCCGGGTACCAAAACCTGCCGGGCTGGCCGGCCAGAAAGGCACCGAAACTGGGGCTGTGCCCTGGAGACGGGAGCCTTTCCCTTCCTGAATCTTTAAAGACTAAAATAGGTAGGGGGTTAATTCTGTGCCCACGTCCCACTGGGCTTTCCCCATGCTTGGAGGAAGGGGGGTGGGGGTGGGGGCTGGGTCCGATCTTGCACCCTGCATGGCTCTGGGTGTGTTTTTTGCTTTTATTCTGCTCCTCAGTGCATGAACCCAGCACTCGGCATCTCTGCAAACCAAGCCTCGGTGCTCAGGAGTGGGGGAGCAGTTATCCTGGGGGGAGAAACCCTCTTCAGCACGTGGGCTGGGCAGGGACCTTCACTGGAGCTCTGGTCCTCAGCATCCTCCCCGCTTCAGTTAACGCCTGCATGAGGCTCTTTTGGGTCAGGACCCCGGGGAGTTGCTGGAGAAGGATTTATCCTGCAAAACCGGTGATGCCATCAAGTCTCCCGAGGGCAGAAAGGGGGATGTGCCTGTTTTTCACCCCAGCAGGGTCAGCTTGGCCTGGGCAGAGATGCTCGTCCCTTGCTGGCCCCAGAGACGGTGCTGCAGCGCGTGTGCAGAGAGGAGCAGAGGCTGCTGGAGAGGTTTTCCCAGCTTCCATCCTCACTTTGTGCTTGTCCCTGTTCCCCTGATGAGGTGCTTTATGGGGGGGGGTGTGTGTGGAAATAT